CTCCCTCCTCTTCCCCTTTCTCCTCTCTCATCTCTTCCCTCCTTTTCTGTTTTGGTGCCAAAAACAGTCTAATTACAACAGAAAACTTGAAGAGACAGAGAGAGAAATCCACCACACAGCTGATTAAAATGTCCTATGAAATCTAATTTGTAAAGCTCAAATCAGGATAAGAAGTGTTACTCCCACAATTCAAGGCCAATTTGATTTTTAATGAGACTCCTCAGAGACGTGCCAGGATCTCATCAGGCTGTGAACCCCACTACCTGCCTGCCTGCCACACGCTCTCTGGTGTGTAGCTGCACCTCTGCTCTGGGGCAGGGGCCTCCACCACACCCTCTGCTGCCACCACCAGCCTCCCTGAGGCCACCTGCTGCTGAGAGCTGAGCCCTATGTGTGGTCTGGGCCTGGGGCTAGGCCCTTCCAAGAGCAGCAGCTAGTGTCCAAGACCCCTGTGGTGCCAGGTGGGAGAGGAGAGGCTGCACCGGCTTCGGTTCCTCTTGGTCATTTATATCTGCAGGGTAGCGGGTAGAGGGAAAGTGAGGGCTCAGAACTCAGATGGACCCTAGCCCAACCACCATTCGTTAGCTGTGTGACCTTGGGCAGTCTGCCATGCCTCTCTGATCCCAGTTTCTTTGTCATAAATTGGGGATATTTCGGCCCTGAAATATATGAAATGAACCACAGGAGAAGGAGAAGGGGGTGTGTAAACATAGATCACACTGTGTGCCAGATGTTCAATGACTTGGTTTCATGTTGTGGTCAATTGTAAGTGCCCAGGGAACACAAACCATGTAAACTCCCTTCTTTAACAACTCATTCTAGGACCAGGCTTAGGGAGCTGCATCAGCATAGCTCAGTAGAAAAGAACGAGGTCTATAGGGTCAGAAGACTTGCATTCACAACCTTCACCTGCAACTAGATGATTCCTAGGCACTCCAGTTAACCCCAAAGCCCTCCTCTGCCCACTCCCTGCAGAGTCGGGTGGGTGGTGCTCAGATGAGTATGGCAGGCAGGGCAGGGACCAGTGTTGATGATGAGTGATCAAGCAGCACAGCTTCTGTTACTTCTCACCTCCCTCTCTCTAGCTTTCGCATCTGGAAAATGGGCATAAAAATAGTACCTACTATTTTTAGTATTTACTGTTTCATTGTTGTAAGAATGAAAATATTAGTGAGCTAATATCTGAAAACCTCAGAACAGAGCCTGCATCTTGTACGCGTGGCCGTGTGTTTGTTTAGTAAAATATGAACTGAGAGCTGTGTTGGCTTTGGCCCCCTTGTTTTGAGGTGTGGATGGGAGACACCGGCTCCTCTGGTGATTTTTCCCTGAGCGGGAGGAAGGCTGGGCAGGTCCCTGCAGCACAGGAAGGGGCAAGAGAATGTGGTGAGCCCTGGCCACCAGCTCCCTCCAGTTCACCTCTGCCCACACCACACCACCACCTGCCCCTCTGGTTCACTAGAACCAGAGTAAGAGAATCAGAACCACAACCTGATTTATTGGACCCTCGGGTTGAACTAAAACCACATCATTCGCCAAGTTAAAGTGGGGACAGGTAGGAATTCAAACAAGAAAAAGGGGGAGTGGCCAGCCCCAGCATGTGGGAGTGGGTGGCCTCTTGGGGAGCTGGAGTGTGGCAGACCCCAATGCCAGGGATAGGCATTGATGAGCAGAAGGGCTCGAGTTTGGAGCCAGTTCCTGAAAGAAGGGGACAAAGCTAAGGGTAGGAAGGGAGGCACCTGGGGAGGCCTGGTCTCCGGGGCCAGCCTCAGCTCTGCTTCCAGCGCTGTAGGGGAACCCTCCAGGTCTGACCACAGTGCTTGTCTCCTTCCTAGGCCAAGTCTACTCCTTCAGCCAGCAACCCCAGGACCAGGTGGTGGTATCCGGACAGCCAGTGACGCTGCTGTGCGCCATCCCAGAATACGATGGCTTCGTTCTGTGGATCAAAGACGGCTTGGCCCTGGGTGTAGGCAGAGACCTCTCAAGTGAGTACCTTCAGACCCCTAGGCAGGCCCAGCCGGGCCACTTCCCCGCCCACCGTCCAATCCCCTAAGGAATATCCATCACAGGCATGGCGGTGTCAAACCTCCCACGGCCACTGTACTCCTGGGCAGAGCCAGGCTAGGTAAGGCCGGAGTCTAGACTCCCTAGGAGTTCCAGGGTCTCTGGCTGCCAGTGATGAACCACCCTCCATCCTCAGGCTCCTCCTGAGCCTAGCCCACTGTTGCCCTGGAGAATCTATTCCCAAGTCAAGCACATGAAGTCTGATTTCCAGAAATTAAGTGCTCTAGTTTCTTGGCCCGAGATACAGTCCCCATTTTTCAAAGCATAACCTGGCTTCCCACCCAGTGAAAGGAAGCCAAGTGAACTAAAAAGTCATAAAGAAACCTAAGTTGGTCTTAGAGATCATCTTACAACGGGACCAGAAAACAGGAAGGTTTTTGTTGTTGTCTTGGTACTGGGCATTCAACTCAGGTGGCAGACCTGAGTACCACTGAGCCACACCTCCAGCCCTTTTTATGTTTGATTTTGAGACAGGGTCAAGTTGCCCAGGCTGGCCTTAAATTTGTTAAATTTGTTATCTCAGCCTCCTAAATCACTGGGATTAAGAACACTGCACCACCACACCCAACTTAAGACAGGAAGGTTTTACAATGAATGCTAAACCTTGTTGGGCCCTGCAGGCTGGTGCCCCCCACGCTGAGCTCCAGGGTTCCTGCAGCTGCTGGCCCATGAACTCCCCCATTGATGTCTGTGCTGTGTCATTTGCTGACTATTGTGAGTGGCTACCTGTAAACCCATCCAAACCCCTTTCCAACCCACCTCTCCCCAGCAGAGAAAGAATGGAGTCATCCTCCCGCTCACTCCCTCCTTAGCCATTGTTATTCCGCCCCAGGGTGGATAGACACATGGTTGCTTGCTGAGCTTGACATAAACAGTAAAATTCACAAGGACAGATCTGGGTGTCATTCCCCTGTGATTTGGGAATGGCTGAGGGTGGGCGATGAGTGAAAAATCTGTATTCAACTGAGAAGTAGCTTTTGCCTTGTTCATGGTATACAGCTGCAGGAAAATAAAAAATCGAAGTGCACTCAGGAACCTGATGGCTGGGAAATTAATATTTTAAAATGTGAGTTATGTCTTGCCAAAAATGTATATTGAAACATTATAGCAATGGTCAATAGCAGTCACAGGGTTTGAATGCTGCAGCCCAGCTGAGCATGGATAAAATAACACAATAATATCTCCAAAATATACTGTGCTGCCATAAAGTTTAAGTAGTATGGGAACCAGCCAATTTCAGAGACTCTGAATTCCCTTACCCTAGAGAAACTGGGAGAATGATACAACCTTCCCAAACAAGAACGGCTCGTGTTCTGGGAGGCTCTGAGCTTGGCCCACAGAGGCCGTCTGGGTTCCTGGTCAGTGGTTTTTCAGCCTTTGGTCAGGGGCATGGGTTTTGCTAGGTCAGTGGCCAAGAAAAGGTCCCAGTGACCAGGGACGGTTCATAGAATGGTCCTCACAGCATGATGATTGCCCCTCTATGATCCAGTTCCACAAATGGCTTTCTGGGGTCAGGCTCCAGGCCTGCTTGGTGCTGAAGGACAATGGGTCTGAGGAACTGGGGTCGGCTTCCTCTCCAACTTGTCTCCAGTTATAGGAAGAAGCTGGACCCTCTTCTTACATAGCCCAAGTTCAAGCTCCTGATAAATACCTGTTCTGTATTTGATCACTTGTCCCCAAAACTGCATCCTGATAATAATGATCCATACTTATCCGTCTCAATAAACGCTCCTAGCCTGCCCAATGAGGAAAGGAGCATGGCAGAACCCACTCCCTTTCAGCAAGCACTTGAAGAACACTGAACACCTTGAAAGTTTTCCTGGAGGGAAACTGAGGCCCGGAGTTGGGCCCTTCCTGCTGGGGGTCTGCCCACTTTCACATGAACCATGTTGCCCCCCCTTTGTGTACCAGGCATGAGACCCTCACCGAAGACCTCAGTGTCTTTCTGGTCACCAGGGCTGGAAACACCAGTCAAAGAAAATGACTTATAAATACACTTCCTTGTCGCGACCCCTTGCCCGCAAGGAAGACGCAACTCGGGAATCTTCTTTCAGAGGTTTATTCAGGCCCTTGATATTTCTTCTAATAATCCCTCGGATGCCCCTCCCAGCCTTAATAAAGCATCTCAAGCCCCAATGCGAAGCTGCCACGTGGAACTTTCTCATAGGGTGCTGAAAAACCATGCACCAACTCTCCCAAATAAGGAGTTGTTTGTCACATACCACAGCAGAGCCAGCGCCATCTTGTAATGGCGACCATAGTCTGCATAAACGGCAGAGGCGGCTCACCACACTTCCTCGTATGGATAGAACATTTTTCTTCTAAGAAATTCAAGTACTTCTCAGATATAATCTCAAAATCTACAGTTGTCCAGAGGGACAAGAGGATTTTCCCCTTTATTTAATAGATAAACAGAGTCACAGAAGAGAGAGAAATTGTGTCATTTATATAACCAATGCCAATGCACAGGACCCTGTCTGCTAGCCCCAAAGGGGGAGACCTCACCTCTAACTCACTGTGGTCTTTTATTTAAATTAACCTTTAATACACCAGGCACTTGACACTATTCTGCTTCATCTTCGCCTGTCTCATCCTTGCATTGTCTTCATTTCACTGATAAATAAGGAAACAAAATCACAAATAAGTTAAAGAAACTCACCCAAGCCCTGCACAGTGGCACAGGCCTATAATCCCAGCAGCACGGGAGGCTGAGACAGGAGGATCACAAGTTCAAGGCCAGCCTCATCAATTTAGCAAGGCCCCAAGCAACTTATCAAGACCATCTCAAAATAAAAAATAAAAAAGGGCTGGGAATGTGGCTCAGTGGTTAAGCATCCCTGGGTTCAATCCCCAATGCCCCACCCCACCCCACCCCCAAAAAAAGGAAGAAGGAAGCTTGCCCAAGACAACAGTGAGGCCAGCATTTAAATACAGGCAGTTTGACTTTAGACTCTAAATAATTCTGCCTCCTTTAGGAGTAGACAGAGAGTAACGATGCTGTGGAAGGAGCTAGAACATCCTCAGAATCTATGCTTCTGAGTCTGTTTTCCGAAGATGCTGCCAGTCCTTGGGATAGCATCGCAGCTCGCCGCCTAATTAGGCAAATACAAACAAACCCATCACTGATGTTTTCAGCAGCTCATGAGAGTGAAATCCTGCTGGTGATAGCTTACGAGACAACAAAAACACCAGCTCCAGCCAAGACGCCGGCAGGGGACCAGGGACTAATCACAGGACAGCGGGATCCAGAGGCTGGGCTGCAGGGCCTGGGGGCGGTGAGCCAGCTGCACTGAGGGCAGGCAGCTGCGAGAGGATCTGTCTGGACAGCTTCCAGCCCGGCCCCACTCGAAGCCCCCTGCCCAGGCCCCAGGGGCTGAGCCAGCTGCCCTTACCTGGGCTCCTTTGCCTGTCAAGGGCAGGTGAGTGGGCAGGAGGAGAGAGGGTGCCCTCGGGGGTGCAGCTGATTGCCTCCTGAGCATCTCTGGCCAGGACTGCACAGCTGTGGAGAGCAGAGCCCCTTAGTAGCATGATGGTGGCTATAAAGGGCCCCCCAGAGCATGCTCCCAGGCCTGGTGGAGAGTCACAGATACTCACCCCACTGACTAGCAATGGGCATTGTTGGCCCAGGGAACCCTGCCCCACCTCCGGACTATCCTTAACTTATGGAAGGGGATGGGTCTTAAAGCTCACCTAGTCCAGTCTTTCATCCAGTGTAGACATCACCCCAGCAGCATCCTGGAGAGGTGAGCCTCCAACCGTGGCTTGACTATAGCTGGGGATAGGGACTCACTTCCCTTCTTGGCAGCCTGGACTGAACCCTTGTTAGACTCCTCAGATATCTTGATGTGCTGCCTGTGAGTGTCACTGCTGTCCTGAAGAGCAAAAGAACACATCTGACCCACACCACGGGATTTGGGAATATTTGAAAAAAGTGTCTGCATGTCTCTCTCTATCCATTCTCTTTCTCTCTCCCCCTCTCTCTCTAGCCCTTGTCTCTTCTTTAAAAGGCCAAATGTGTCCAATCCTGAGATGTTCTGAGAATGCCCCATCCTGGGAAAGGTGCTTCAGAAAGAACAGCCATGTGGGGCGGCTGGAGGGTGGGTGGAGGCAGGCAAGAACCAGGAGGGGGTGCGGGTGTCTGTGTGAAGACCAGGGTACACAGGTTTCCTGGGGAAGGTAGAGTTCTGGTGAGGGGATGCCTGGAAGATGGATCCTGCTGGGATAGACTAAGGAGGTTGGGGGCCCCAGCTCCGGGAGAGAGGGGAATGGTCCAGCCTGGCCACCTATTACTAAGTTAGCATTTGTATTCAGCCCTACACAGCAGCAGGAAAGCTGATCAATGATTTATCATCCTCAAACTTTTATTTATCTATTATTCATTGCCAGTGGTAGAAGGGGCCCCAAATTCCTAAGTGTCCTGAGCGCCTCAAGTGCTTAATCAGGCCCTTGGGCTCTGGAGGTGGGTAGTAGGAAAGACTGGAAAAGGGCCACTTAGGGTTCAAAGTGCCCTGAGGTTCCCAGGTCCCGGTAGATTTCTGCTCCTGTCCATCCTGGAACAAAAGTTTTCCCCAAAATTCACCTTTGATCCTTTTCTAAATATTTCTCTCTCTTTTGTTTTTCCTCCCTTCACTCTCTCACTCCGTCTTTTCTCTGTGAGTCTGGCTTGCTTCTTTCTCTCTTGTACACCAGCCCCCGCCCCCCCCCCCCCCCCGTGTCTCCTTATCAAAACACTGTCTTCTCAGTAGACCACAGTGCTGAGCATTTCACTTTCTAGAGCAATAACCCAGCTGTATCTGACCGCACTTAGCGTTTCCATTTCTTCTCTATCCTTTCCTCGTAGTGCTTTGCTCCAATTAAACATAAAACCCACAACATCTTTGCCCGCACGCATGCGCACACACATACACACGCTCATGCACACCCTGCCCCGACACCCTGGGAAACTCTGACTTTTTTTGCTCCTTACAGGAGATCGGGTCCCTGAGCAATAACCAACATTCCTCCCTCCCCACCCAGCTCCCCTGAGCTAATAGAAAAGTCTTCTTTTTCCTGAGGGTCTGATAATTTTAGCCTGTGACATAAACTGACAATAGACAGATTAACAGGGGGAGTAGACAAGCTTATTAATGTACCGAAACATGGGCGCCATCCTCAAAGTAGGAGACTCAAAGAAAGGGCCAGATAGTTGAAGCTGAAATAACATTTTGAGCTCCTGAAAGAAACAGATTGTTGAGGCTGCTGGGGGGAGGGGGCGATGAAAGTTCTGGAAGGGAGAAGGGAGGGAAATGCAGGGAGCAAAGGTGGCCTTACCCTGCAGATAAAGCCTGTCAGTCCCAGTCACCACAAGGCCATCTCTTTCTGGGCCAGGGAGCAGCTCCACAATCCCTTCTCCCTGTGAAAAGATCCTTCCTCAGCAGACAGTGGAGATCAGATGGAAGAGCTTCTATCTGCTTCCGCTGCCCACTAAGTGCCTTTCTGTTTGTAAGTGGACAACTTTTCAGAGTCGATCTCTCTGGTGCCTGTATCGCCTCCAAATAGCCATCAGGAAACAGGCTAAAGAAGTCTACTGGGGTGGGATGTTTTGATCTCCCTCATCTGCCCACTGTCTCCACAGGTTACCCCCAGTACCTGGTGGTGGGGAACCACCTGTCAGGGGAACACCACCTGAAGATCCTACGGGCAGAACTGCAAGATGATGCTGTGTACGAATGCCAGGCCATCCAGGCTGCCATCCGGTCCCGCCCCGCACGCCTCACCGTCCTAGGTAAGAGCCATCCACGTGAGGGGGCAAGGATTCTCTGGCCACCACCAGGCTCAGCTCCAGGAGGGGCCTTCTGGGCAGGTGGGGGACCCCCCACTGCATCATCACAGGACCCCAGCTGCCCCCATGGTGTCTGTGACCCCCCTCCCCTGTCCCTCCACCACAGGGGACAAGTAAAGGCTCCTGCCTTAAAATGTCAGAAGGCCAATGTCAACTAACTCTGCTGTGTTTGACCACACCTTAGGAGCTAATGAAGGCTCCTGGGTGCTCTGTACATGTGAACAAGACCAGGCCATAGGGCAGGCAGTGCACAATCTCAGTCCCTTCCTTCTGAGTTGTCCTCTGCCAGGGTGCCAACAAAGCCCTACCTGCCCACCTCGACTGCGAAATTAGTCTTAATCTCTATTCCCCCATAAATTCGGTGTTCATAGGGATGGCCAGTGACCCCTGTTCTTTCCCCACACCACACAGTTCCCCAAGAATCTTGGTTCTCAGGTTATTCCTAGAAAAATTTATTTAAGGCCCTTATTCCAAATCATACCTCTCCCCCTTGATCTTTCTTCACATGTCTCTGGGACAGCTCTCCTAAAGAGGTCTCCACTCCTTCATTCTGGCAGACTTGCATGAAGACAGGGATGGGCTCACTTGTTAACCCCTTAAACCACTTCTGATTGAGAGTCCAGTCCCCAGGAGTCTCCCTCCTCTGGCCGGATGTTCTGAGAATCAGTGTTGCAGGGAAACAGGTTTTGCTCCTAAGTAATAACAGCTCACATTTGCAGAGCAGTGCACAGTAGCTTTCAAAACCCTTGACACATCACCTCTTCCATTCCTGAGCCACTCGTAAGGTCAGGGATTGTTACCCCAGCTAAGAAACTGAGGCTCAGAGAAGCAGAGGGCCTGGCCCAGGTTCTGCTGGCCAGGGCTCCTTGCACCACCTCCCTGGCTCCTTGTGGTTGAGTCTTTGCCAAGCACATGGGGGATGGAGCACCAACGGGCAGAAGAGGGAAGCCCCGGTCTGCCCCAGTCTGCCCAAGCCACTTCTTGGCAGCTGCCACGGAGCAGTGACCGCAGGGTCAGCAGCTGGGATGCAGCCTCGATGTCTGGAAGATAAGGAGCACGGCTGCTCAGAGATGAAATATTTAAGAGCGTGTCAGGTTATCTTCAAATCTACACGGCCAAACACACTGGAGCAGATGATTCCAAGCACGGCAGCAGACAGGCCCCGGGGGATCACTTACAACCGGGAGCTGGGCTTATTGGGATGGGGAGAGGGAGTTGAGGCCAACCTCCCAACTTCCTCCAATCTCCTTCTGGCCGGTGAGGAAAGGATGTGAAACAAACTGTTCTGCAGGGTAAATAGGCTGGATAGTGGACCAGGAGGAGGGGGTTGAGAGGGGCAGCCAGGGAGGCTACAGAGCATCCCCAGACTTAGTGCCTAATGGTCATTCTGATTTGAAGGCTGCTAAATACCAAAATGGATTGGCTAAGTGATGTGGTAGGATCTCTATCTTCATAGATGATCCAGGCTCCATCCTGCAAAGAGCCTGCAAAGAACCTCTCTTGTCTTGGGGGGCAGGGTGGGAGGGGGTGAGTGCCACAAAGAGCAGAACCTAAGTAAGCATTGTTCACTCCTCCGATTTCATGCAAGACCTAAATTAGATGGAGACATACCCAGTCCTTGAGGCATACGAGCCTCACCAACCAACCCTGGTCATTCATGCTTCCTATCCTCTACCATCTCAGTAAACCACAAAGACCAACATTCTAAATCTAAATTATTCCTGTGTTTTACAGATAAGGAAATGGAGAGACTCAGAGAGGCACAGGCACTCACAGGAGGTCACAGAGCTTAATTAACATCTAAAATCAACTCCATGCTTTCCAACTTCTAAACAATGCTCTTTGCCCAGTCTCCTCATTTCAAATGCCAGCAGACTTCATCTGTCCGGCTGGTTAAGAGCCAGACTTCTCAGAGCAGGGCCTTGGGATCCAATCTAGATACCTGATTTTGTCTTGAATCACATCTAAAAGACATTTGCTCCCCACTTTCCAGTGACCTGACCTGACATTGTTTTCTGGGCACAGAGCTGGGCTTGTGCAGGGGAGGTGTCTATTCAAGTCTGGAAATCAGCCAAAGGAAGAGTAGTCATAAAGGGCCCCAGCAGGGTCCCCTCAGTACAATTTCTGAGAGTCACAAAGGGAACCCGGACAGGCATCTTGTCCATCAGCCTTTCATGCAGTCTCTGTAAAAACCATTCATCCAACGCAAATTAAGCCCTGGGTAAGAAAAAGCTACCTTCAGCTCTGCCTGGAGTCCTTCCTTATTCCTTAGAGTCTCCCCCATGCCCCCACCCCTCAGCTGTTCCTAATAGGTCCCCCCTTCCCTGCCCTAGCTGGTCCTAGAGGTCCCCCAGCCACCAGCTCTGCCTGGCTGTTTCTCCAGGTGGAGGGCTTCACCTGCTGCCCTGAAGGGAGGCCCCACAAGCAGAAGCTGACTCAGTTTGCTGGCAAGAAGGGAGCCCTGATCTGGGAAGGGTGGGTGGACACTCGGCTGTTCCATGGAAGGGAGAAAGGTGTTGGTGCCCCCTGGCCCAGCCGCCTTCCTTCCACCCAAGACCCCATCTGCTTTGCTGTGACATCTTAGCCTGGGAAAATGTCCCAGCCCGTCCCCCGAGGGGGGCTACCTTCCCTGTGTTCCAGGAATGAGAGAGCTTCCTAATTTAGTCTGTATTTGCCTGAGATAGATTTTTAATTAAATAAAGTAAGAGCCTGATTAGAACCTGCAGAAGACGTGAGAGCAGAATCAGATGGTATTCCTGCAAAATTGCAAAGCAAACACTTTGGCTGGAACAGAGAGAGGCCCCCGGGGGTCTTCCATCAAAGCACCAAGTGAGGAGGGCAAATACGAGAGATTATATGGCCAACAGATGTGCATTGTTAAAATATGCATCTGCCCACAGCAGCGTGCTGGAAGAAGCCAGAGGGCCAGTTCGCAGAGCCTCCGGGCTCCAGGGAAGGGATGGGGACTGGGCCCGGCAGGCAAGCCTAGAGTCACAGACACATTAATTAGCATTGTGTTTCCAGCTCTCAGATGCAATCAGGCAAGGAGCAACTTTGAGCTGAACATTTGCTACCCCGAGAGGCAGAGGGAGGGAACTAGAAAATGAGGGGAAAACATGGGGGAAGGAATTGAGTTTGCTAACCTGAGAAAAGTTTAGACTGGGGAGCCACAGTCCAGGTCAGTGGTCAGGCTCCATTCCCTCTGTGATACACCCAGCTGCCAGGGACCAAGCCTTTACTCAGTCCATATAAAAACAGTCTTCGTTCTGCATGCAGAACAACTCGGGAATCTTGGTATCATAAAGAGACTCGGATTTAGAGGCAATGATCTTGATCCTACTCTTGGCCAGCTACGTGATTCTGGTGCTATTATTCAACCTCTCTGGTCTCTTTCTGCACCTGTAAAATAAGAGATGATGATTAAAAAAAAAAATGTCTAAGAACTGTCCAGCTCCCAAAAAGGCTATACTTCCAGAGTCAGGAGTCCAACATGCTACACCAACTATTTTAGGAAAATGGGCCATCCCCCACTGGAACCAAGATTCCTATGGTGCCTGAGGCCTAGAAAGTAAATGATTAGGATGGTTTAGATAGCATAGCACCTTAAGGCTAGAAGATGGATCTCTCAGAGTCCCATCCAGCCCTGGGATTCTGGGCGTGGCTAGGTATCTTAACTGCCAGGCTTCCCTCTGTATGGTCTTCCATGTTTACCCAACCTCCTGTGCAGAGACTCAGCTTAGGTGAGTATCACAGGGGCCCATGCACATGTGCAGAGCTGTGGTATAGGAAGAGGAGCCCCAGGCTGGGAAGTAGAATACTGTTCGCAGCTGACTGTGTGACCTTGTACAATGTCCTTGGGGCCAGAGCTGAGCCTGGCGTGTTCTTTATAACCAGCACTTACTACAGAGCAGGTATTCAATAATATTTGTTTGGTTTAATTTTTAAGTGAATATGAATGAATGACTGAATGAAATTTCTGGTACTTCATCTATAAATGAGGAAAATAAAAATATCACCCTCACAGAGTCTTTATGAACTTCAAATACACATGCTCTATAAACAATAAAATGTCATCTACTCTAAAGCTATACCCACACTCACACACATCCACAATTTTCCCAAGTGTAGGAACCCCAGGGTTCTTGTTACAGGTCAGAACTATAAGGATGCCTTTGCACTTGCTCTTTCAAACTGCTTGAAGATGGGAAGTAAAAATTGGGGGATCCAGGATAAGGAGAAAATGGGTACTAGGAATTTGATCCACAAATATTTACTGAGCACCTATTATGCACCCAGCCCTGATCTAGGACTCATTAGTAAATGAAAATCAAGACCACCCTTGCCCTGGTAGAGCTTGCATTCTAGGACGGAGTGAGACAATCAATAAAATAATAAACAGATTAAACAAGGAAATCGCTATAGAGAAGAAAGAGTGCAGCAGGGTGAGGGGATTGGAAGTGGGGGTGTCGGATGTCTGATAAATTATTTTTTAAAGGGCATTTTTCCCAATCTTTCTCCCGACTTCCCTCTTCTTCTTGGACTGTTCCAATATTAACTCTGCTGTCTTGTGACTCCTGGTAAGAATAAAGCTTTCAAATCAACATGAATTATTAAAGTTGGAAACCAAGTCGATTCAAATGAAGAGGGTGTCTTTTACAAGAACACCAAGCCCAGGAGGCAGAGGGGCCGAGATGAGGTCCGGTATGTGCTGTGTCCTTGACTTGCTCTCCTGGGCCCTCAGCATGGGCAGCATCTCCCAGTTCCCGATGCCCAAATCCTCTGGGCAGATGGGTCCAGAGAGGAGCCGAGAATAACGCAGGCACTTCCAGCCAGGGAATGCAGAGTTGAAACAGAGCCTGAGAACGTGGGCTTCTAATCGGTCTTTCCAGAAACTGTTTCCGAGAAACCCACCCACAGGCATCTCTACATAAAAAGGCAAGTCAGTAGGGAATAGTGGGAGCAGTTTTTTGGGGGTGAGAAAGGGTCTCTGAAGCACAAAGCCTGCCATGGCACATGGGGCCCTCCCAGCCTACCATCTGCCCTCTCTCCAGCCCCAGCTCTACCACCCACTCACTCAGATCACAACCAGCTTGTAGCTAGCTCCCTTCACTGACCACGCCTCCAGTTAGATGCTCTTCCCACCTTTTTTGGCTAACTTGCATCTACCTGTCAGGGATTCACTTTAGACATCTCCTCCAGGAAGCCCTCCCTGAAGTCCACACAGCCTGACTGTCCCCCCTTGATCACAGCACTCAACACGTTCTCATGAGAATAACTGTGCTCATGTCTGTTTCTCCCGCTGGGTCTGTTGGGGGCATCTGGCATTCTTCATGCCCAGCACAGTCTGTGAACACAAATTTGTTGATCAGCAAATTTCTGTCATTTAATTGAAGCAAAAAGAGCTTAGGGGGAAATCACGAGTAATTTATACTGAATCTCGCATAAAGAACAGTGCCTGGCAGATAGTAAGCCCAAAGACTCGTGAGTGTTAGGTTGGGTTGGGTTGGGGTGGGTTGTCTTGTGTTTAGGGAGATCTTTCTGCCACTGTGACAAAATAGCTGAGATAAACCAACTTATAATGGGTTTTCAGCCCATTGTCCTTTGGCCCTATTTCCTTTGGGCCTGTGGCAAAGCAAACCATCATGGCAGGAGCACATGGTGGAGCAAAGTTTCTCAACTATTGTGGCCCAAAAGCAGAAAGAGAGGGGAAGAGGAAGGCCCTGGGGGTCCCAATACCTCCTTCAAGCACATCTCTCCATTGATCCAGCTTCTACTCAGTAGCCTCACCTCCTAAGAGTTTCACTCCCTCCCAACAGCCCCACAGGCTGGTGACCAAGCCTTTAACACATGGGTCTCTGGGGAACATTTCTGATCCAAACTACAGCAGAGAGGCAATACAGCTTGATGGTTTGGAGCCCAGCTCCAGGAGCCAGATTGCCTGTGCTTGGAACCTAGCTCTGTCATTTTACCAGTGGTGCCAACTTGGTCAAGTTACTTAACTCCTCTGTGCCTATTTTTTTGTGTATAAAATGGGAGATAAGATCCTAACTGCTTTCATAGGGTTACTGAAAAGATTTAATGAAACAACATAATGCAAAGCACATCTCAGAATAGTGCCTGATGTCCAGCAAGACAAATAAGCCCATGGCTGTTATTGTTTTATTAACTATTCTTTTTATTGTGCAATGTCAAGAGACACCATGAAGGGAGCCCTCCTTCCAGGGCATCAGACTCCATGTCCTACAACAGCAGCTTTCCCAAGCAGCCAGCAAGGCAGAAAGACCTGGTTCCTGCAGGCCCCTCCCAGGCGCATGTCTGGGAAGACAAGCAGAATTGATTTCCTTATCTTCTTATTAAGCGTGTTTTGCCTGGGCCCCGGCCTGGTCTTAGGTGCTCTATCTCATTTGTGCTGTGTGCTGTTTCCTGCCACATTCATTACCCTGCAATCACCCCCAAACAGG